AAATTTAAATCCCCTAAATTAAAAATTAAAAATTAAAAATATTAAAATTTAATTAATATTCATTTATTACAAAATATCTATCTTTTTTTCTATAAAAATATATATTTATAGCGATAAATTCGAAACGGTACGTGAAAATTTTCGATATTCGATACGTACAGTTTCAGTAACAAAACTAGACCTGACAAACGGGCGGGTTGGGTCGGGTTAGGGTCGGGTCAGAACGGGTAACGGGTCAAAACGGATTGGGTTAAAACGGGTTATGGGTCAATGAAGGCAGACCCTAACCCGCCCGTCACGGGTCACGGGTCAACTCGCGGGTTGACCCAATTACTTTTTTATTTCTTTTTTTTCTCTATAATTTGTATCTATTATCATTCAAAGAAAAATTATTCAAAAGATTTAAAAAAGAAATTTAACATCTTATAAAAATAATTTTTTTCATTAATTTAATATATACATGTTTATAGTTCCTCAGAATCACCTTCTTTCTTTCCCTTCAAAGAATAGCGTTAATCAAATTTAAGAACACTACACTTATAAATCTCAATAGCAAAAAAAAAAAAAAGCTGTAGTAGCATGACAACTAAAAAACACAAACCCCATTGGAACATATTTGTTTTAGTCATTGCTTTCAAAGAATAATCAATTGAATGCATCTAAGTAAGCAAAGGAGAAAATCAAGTAAAATTTTTACTTGGAATGGAAAGAAAACTAAAAAGCATAAATAAGTAAACAATTTACCTTGAAGTCTTTAGAGAGAAAAGTTGGTGACAAAAAGAGCACTTGCCGGACTCATAGGAGAAAAAAAAAAGGACTGAGTAGACGCATCGATGACTCGATAAGACTAAGATCTAAGTTTGAGATAATGTGAAAGACTAAAGAGAAAAAGTGGAGTCGAAGCTTGAAAGTCAAAGACTGTATGGACTATGAAGGTTGAAGAATATGAGAAGAGTTTGAAGTTTAAAGAGTTAGAGTCTTCGAGAGTATTAGGGCAAGTAAGAACAGGAAAGGTCGGGAGGTGAGTTATGAGTGGAGTGGGATTACTTTTACTTCTAGAAGATGATGAGTCAAGAGAATCAATTAGTTAATTAGGGAATATTAGTCAATTATTAGAGGTTTATGTGGGATTGAGAATTGGAAAACAAAATAAATAGATAATAAATTAAAAAAGTTTAAATTTTTAGGCGGGTAAACGGGTCAAACCCGTTAACCCGATGGGTCAACCCTTTATTGACCCGTGACCCGTCGGCTTCTCTTAACAGGTCATTAACGGGTCACGGGTCATAAATATATGACCCTAACCCATTTTAAACAGGCGGGTAATGGACGGGTTAACGGGTTAGGTAAAAAATTGCCAAGTCTAAACAAAACCAATACGTATACCGGTACGGTATCGACAACTTTGCTTACAACAACATGAAGGTCTATTGTTGCGTGGAAATTCAAGACAAGGATGGCAAGTCATTTGGTTTGCAACTATCTGGGCTTTTTAGACATGGCAGAATCAAAAGGTATTCATGGAAAAATCTGACACGCAAGATAAAATTATAAAGATGATTAAATTTCAATCTTTGCTGTGGCTGAAAGCTTGTTTTTGGCCGGATCTACAAAAGGATGTTTGGCTTCTTTCTCCCAATCAAGCTATTAGGATGGCTAGAAGGTGCTTGCGATAGGCCACTTATTTCACATTTTGGATTAATTCATATTGTTTAGTTTATTAGGGGGAGACTAATAATACTGAGGTATGTAGTTTTATGCCAGTATTTATGGGTTGGAATACTCCTTATATTCTTTATTAATATTATTTTACTTGGCTGGTAAAAAAAAAAAAGGATTATAAGCCATAAGTACTACAAATAACTCGAAGCAAAATGTAGAAAAGGAACGCGTGCTAGAGCATTTCCACATTCATATTAATTTAATAGGATTAAATTAGAACCAACCATATATTGGCAGGTGAAAAAAACTAGGACCATGCATTAATGAGCGAGCTCTTAAGATCTGGGCAGTAAGCAAGAAACGATCGTGGCACAGTTAATGTAACACCCCACATACCTTAGTAAATAATTTAAAAATTAGTGTCCTTTAGTTTATAGTTTTAGGGATTAAATTGATTGAATTTAAAGTTTGGGGGTTTTAAGTAAAACTTAGTAGAAATTGAATGACCCTAACTCAATTATCTCAATTTTGCTTACCACATGGCATTGTCCTAACCAAGTTTTTTTTTCTTTGTCCGTGGAACTTGGATAAGCCTCCAAAGGCTCCCAAAAGTCCCCATTTTTTTCTTACGTCTTCCAGCTATCCTTTGCATCCTTTTCTTCCTCCTTTCTCCAACCAAGATTAAAGTGCTTGATTTTCATGTAAGTATGAGTTTTGGTTATAAACTTTGGTTAGAGCTTTTATTTGGGTATATTATAGATTTATTACAATAAACTAAAAGTTAGATTAAATTAATGGAATTTGACTCCAAAGCTTTAGTTTAATAGATCTCTGGGTATTAAGATTTTGTTAAAAACATGTCATTTTTTGGGGTTTATATGGGAAAGACAGTGAGTTATTCCTTTATATGTTTGATTTGGTGTGAATTTTTACTTGTCAGAATTATAAGTAAATTGTACTGTTCATGATTACTGTTCACGTAATTACTGTTCGTACATTACTGTTCACGCACTATGCTTTAATCTCTTTCAATACGAAGTCCTAATATTATTTTGGACATATTCTGAATTTGTTTGACATGCGTTTGCATTTGTGGCTATGGAGTAAGTGGACCTAAGCTTAAAGCTTGGGGTAAATAGTGAACCCTTCGGGGTATTTAGTAGACCTCTGCGCAGTAGGGTTAGTACTGTGGTTAGCTCCGATATAGTGTTGCTAGCACACATCAGTGAACTCCATAGCATTGTGTGATTTTCGGTTTTATGCATTGCGCTTGTGACATCGTATTTGTGAGTATATGATTTTAGTGTATGACATTTAATTTAAATATCATTGATTATTCCTTGACATGTGGGATTATGATTTGAGATATTAAATTATTATTTAAATAGTGAGAATTATAATATTATGTGGTTTGGTTCCGTTGTATCTCATGCTCTTTGTGTGTATAGGTCTAGGGGTTTTAGGACCCAAGTTTATAACTTAAACTTATTACTTACTGGGCTTTTAGCTCATAAAATTCCCCCCCCCCCATTTCAGATCAGTAGATTGAGGTAGCAGCCTCTCGGTTTAGGAGCTTTTGGCACGGGACTCGCATGCTCGTTGTATGTACAAGCTAGGGTCTTATGTTTTCGATAGGGAGGCAGATTGATGTGTTACCAAAACAATGATTCAACTTTTGTTCTTTTGAAAAGCTTTGGGGAAGAAATTTGCCTCATATAATTTTTGTGTAAATTACCTTATGTACATAATCTTGAAGTTAATTATAAATGAGTTTAGCTCAGCTTATTTTATAACTTTGAGTATTTTGACATTTCCTTAAGACATATTTTTTGTTAAAATAGTTTTCCTTCACAAGTATTTGATTTTCCTTCCGTAAACCTTTAAATTGGTTTAAAAGCAAGTTTTCTTTTAAGGAATCATTTTATAATAGAAGTGTTTCTACTTTCGTTGCAATCTATTAATATAACTCTTATTTTCGGACTCCTTTGGGACTAAGAGTTCCTAGAGGAGGTGTGTTATATTTTGGCTTTTTTTCCCCAATATATATATTGATATTCTTTTTGTTAAAGTGGTTTTCCTTTATAAATATCTATAATCTTCTCTTTTCAAAATGTAAATTGATTTTCTGAATACAGACTTTCTTTTGAAGAAACATTTTATATTAGAAGTGTTTTTACTTTCGCTGCAATTTTTTACTATAAATCTTATTTTCGAACTCTTCTAGGACTTGGCGTGCCTACGGGGGTGTGTTATATTTTTGGTATCAGAGCCAAAGTTTTACTAATATATTGATCTATTATATGAGTTAGAGTCTAGTGTCATAGGATTAGATTTTGCCTAACTATTAGTTTTGCACTCTTTGTTTGTATCAGTACCGAAGAAGAAAGATGAGTTAAGGAGACAATACTTCTACTCCTTCTCTTACTGATGACGTGAATGCCCGAATGGACATAATGCAAAAGGCCATTACGGATATGAGTTCCATCTTTAGGGATTATCTTTGACATCAGAACAACAATAATGCCCCACAAAACACTGGTGGCAATTCACAGCAAACAATGGACT